CCTTTAAGCGTTGTTCTACTCACTAACTATTGTGTTAAACGCTAGAAACAATGATATAAAATACTTTCCTATTATGCCTGTCTGATTTTTATACTACTATTATATTTTGTTTTGTTTTTTAATTTGATGCATTATCGGTAATATGCCTGTCTTAACCAGATTAAGATGATTTGAACGTAAGATAACTTTATGGTTTCAGAGTGACTTATCGACAAATATTATGGCTCAGAAACTTGGTCAGAGCGTCACGAAAAGGATTCCCATCAGGTGGCTGCATACTTTTATTGACAGCTGCCACCTTCGCTGACTGGCTCCACATTGAACATCGCATGACCAACAAGCCGGTCAGCCAGAAAGAATTAGCAACAAGAAACTCTGGCAGAGATGGATCAGGCATAAACTGAGGAAACCGCTGAATGACATCGCACATAATGAAAGCCATTGCTTGAGTGGAATCCCAGTGGGAAGTGACGAGTAGGTCGTCAGTGCAAGTGTGACATGGAGGAGATCGTGTGGCGAATTGAAGGAGATGAGAGATTATGGGGAATCGTGTGGCTAACCAGCTGAAGAGGACAGCAGAGAACAGACAACAGTGTCGATGTGTTGTTGAAGCCCTATGTTCCACTCAGAAACCAAGGGAATAATAATAATAATTTGCTGTAATTACGGTAATATAATCGCTTACTACCACTATTTATATCCGACAATCGAGTTACACAGAATTTCCTGTTATCGTAATTTTTCTTTAGCTTTGTCATTGATGATATTCTGAATATATTGTTTTGAAAGTGGTGAGTCGTTATGGTAGAGACCTGTCAGTCAGTGAAAAATGATCCCATCTTGAGTACACCAGCTATGTAATAACATAGGGGTTATCCTACTCTCATTCCACCAGTTGGTAATTACTGTCTTTATTGTTTCCTGCTGGGGTTTGCTGCATCTACAGCTACAAAAGTACTATTGTAAGGCTGGCAGGAGTTTTTAATCACGTTCACAGTCACGAAATAGCTATTAGAACTAGTTGCCAAGATCTTGTGTCTAGATAGCTTCATGAGTTCTGCATGTGGTATGACGTAGCATAAATGACATTTGCATAGTGTTAACCTTTATTAGTATGAAACGACTCAGTAGTGAACATGCTGTAGTTCCCTTTTTTTTCTCTTTTCGTCATAAATAATAATAAGTAATCAGTGTTAATATCAGTGTTCTTGTTACGAGATCATTTTATTTCTCCCCTATCTATATTGTTATTTCATTATTTTTTGTCACACATCTCTTCAATAGCCATACTGTATAAAGTTGATGTTTTGATAAATAAGTAAAACCTCATAATTGTGTGTACTATTCACCGACGAGTAGCTGGTGGGCCGAATTTGAGTTCATATTCAGTTGAATAATCCAAATATCCTCAACTGAATGTGTAAAACACTATCTGATTTCGTCTAGTTGAAATTCACAAGTGTTGGTTTGCAAGGATTTGATTGGTTACACGTTGGATCATGAGTTGACATCAGTTACAGAACCACCAGAAAATCTGGGAGTACCAGACGGCTGTTCTCTGAAGAGTTCCACACTAGAACAGAACAGTACAGCTACCCAGTACTCCTTAGTTTTCCAATGGTTCTCCTTGCAACCAACATTTGATGATTAGTCTGATACCCACTAGTGACTGACTCTTTACAGGAAGTTACCTGGAGTTCTAGTGAGAAGCCGTGACTAGCGGAGCCCTCCAAGTCAAGTAAGAGGACAGTTACTCCAGAATGAAATTGACTGGCAGTTGCACTATATATATCACGAATCGGCAGAAGTTGAGGTTCATGGGTTGGCCATTGGATCGGTTTCCAGTGGTTGAATGGTTTTCGAGCTTGATTGATGGAGATGGCTTCAAAAACCTTAAGGAGAATTGAACGATCTTTCGACGTCCATCTCATGACCCATGTCAAGGAGATGTCTGGCGATGGCACTGTTTAAAGAATTTGTTCCCGTTAGACATAAGCTTTTTGGTACATGTTCAGAAAATCGTAGATATGCCCTTCTTTCTGTTCTTCCAGTGTAACTGATCCCGTAGATACATATAAATTTGTGTATAAACAGTTGGTGATTAACGAAGTTGTGAAGTTATTTACCTTGAATTAACTATATCTATGTACACTGAATTGTATTCACTATGTGTTCACAACCTAAAAAAAACTAAAGTAATACTGAATTATTTAAATTAAATTTTAGATTTCCCCGTCGATTGATTGGGCTGAAGTGCTCTATCTCAGGTTAACATGTTGACTTCTTGTGCAGATGCTTCGACGATGTCTAGGCATGTAATTAGAATTAAACTGGTAGATGGTGGCTGGCAGTGGAATCCAGGATGCGCATTTTATCCAGATGACGAGTCCCAAATAGGACAAAGTGCGCTTTGTCCTGGATTCCACTGCTAATCACCATCCACCAATTTAATTCTTATACTGAATTCATTTATACGTTTGTGTATCACTAAAAACAAAAACTATGCCGTTATATATTTTTCTCTTCACAGTACATTTTTATAATATGTGTAGTCTGTGTTTAGATTTAAACTGTTGTTTTAATATTGAAGTTTATTTGACCCTATCTAGCTATATACGTGCATATGAAATGTAAAAATGACAGTTTTAATGGTATACATTTGTAAACAATCATTTCAAATCACATGTCCCTATTTGACAGATTACTAAACATATTGTGTCATACTTATATCTGTGCTGTCTTACTTCACAGGTTTCTGTTTGACTCGTAAAAGTTTCTTAACAGTCAATCTCTTATTCATGAAAGTGCATTTGTTATTTTAAGCGAATCTGAGTTCCAGTGGTGGAGTGCTTGTCAGCCACTCAACAGGTTCAGGAGATTTGATCCCTGACTGACATGCACTCCTAAACCACGCCTAGTGAGAGGTGAACGCAGAAGAATTGAAGGGTGGTGGTGGGGGTGGGTGTCAGGTTAGGAAACTCTGCTACTGAAACTTCAAAGTCTGAAGCCCTTTCCTCTCAAAATCAAAAAAGTGATTAAAATGATTTCAACCTCTAAACACTGTCTGTGGGTGACGTGGATTCATATCCACGAGTAGACATTAATTCTTTCGAAAGGGTGTTAAAGATTACGAAACCTAAATTTCAAGGTTTCCTACCGATTTCATCAAACCATCTAACATCAATTAAATGTACCCTGCAATGATGAGTCACCTAGTATGGTGGCCACATTTCAAACTTAATTGTTAGGATAAACGTCTGCACTGACACCAAAAACAGGACGCATGCTATTAGCTCCTATTTAGTGACTAATGACTAATGTATCTATCATAGTTCTGCAGGAGGTCAACTGTGAGCCGGAATAACGCGGTGGTAATGTGTCTGAATTGGAATCCCCGTGAGGATATTAGTTCCTTCGTGGTTGTGTAAATGCACCATCCTGGCGATTGCCAACAAGCTTGAAACCGAAGTCTAAAGCCTTCTACCTATCGCCACCAACCATCTAACATGTACCTGATAAATTGTATGAAATTAATTACTCGTCGTAATAAAATTAAAAAGGCTTATCATACTGTGTTTAAATAACTGAAGTCGAATTGACGTCGCTATTTTACTAAAGTTTTGATAAATTACTTGGTAGCCTTCAATACATTCTAACTGATGTCAGCTCATGATGAAATCCTCTATGCAATCAAACAAAAATCTTTACAAAATCAATACTTGGACATTCAGATATAACTGAACTGGCACCTTCTTATGACATCTATAGAATTACTTTATTTCAAAGGAGGTTACCTGAAGTTTTAATAAGAAGACACAGCAGATGTACACCTAACGCAAGCATTAGACTATGTCATTTACTCTCTGATGTTAGAAAATAGGTTCTTCTTAGTTAGGCGAATTCCGAGTGGAATGTAGGGCTACAAACATGAGCTTTAAAGTCTCAGTAGTGATGGTTGGGTTTTGCTAGCATCATGTCTAATACATTTCCTTTCTAGCGAAACTGCTGCCAGCTAATGTCAAAACCAGATTTCAGTAAGACAAGACAGGCCTTCATCACTCTGGAATAACCAGTTTGGAGGCTCATCATCATCATCATCTAAACTCACCATTAAAAACAAAATTCGAATTTTCAATACCAATGTTAGGCCGATCACTTTTTGGCTTACGCTCCAAAACAAGCACTTTCAGCATGTTACTGCCGACTTTTATCAACAGCTGCCTTCACTGGTTCAATATTGAATGTCAAATAATCAGAAAGGATTAAAAACAGGAAACTCTGGGAACAAATCAACCAAGAGCTTATTGCTAAACGAGTATACCGTCGCGCATAATGCAGGTCATCGCTAGAGTAGAACCTAAATGGGGAACGACGAGTTGTGTGTTGACCTTAGGGTGATATGGGGGAGATCCAGCGAGTGATAGGAGATGAGAGACTATGGGCAATCACGGGGTCAGCTGAAGAAGACAGCAGAGATTAGGGCGAAGTGTAGATATGCCGTTGAAGCTATATGTTTCACTCGGGGAACCCAGAGGAACAATAGTAATAGTAGTAATAAGACTACCGGCTGAGCGAGATTCGTAGAGTGCGTAGTTGGCAAGTTGGTTGGTAAGTTTCCGACTCAATCCTTTACAAATGTTGGGTTGTAGGGATTTGATTGGTTACAGGATTTCATCATGAGCTGACATTAGTTCGAGAACCATTGGAAAACCATCTGGGAGTACTGGACAGCTGTTTCGTCATACTTTGGGACTCTTCATCAGTACGCACCTACCGGGATTCGAACTAATGTCAGCCCCTGATGAAATCCTGTAATCAATCTATTTCTTAGGATTAGCGGTAGTAAGGTCTTGTTTAACTTTTCAGTGAGTTATTTGTTAAATTGTCAAGGGATTGAATTTTTATAGTGTGTTCACTTTTTAAATTTTGTTGAATATTCCACTACTTTATATCAACTGTATATATCCTTGTTTTTGCCCTCTGTTTTTTCTCTTTTGTAGGCTTACATTCTGTAGCCGATATCTATTGTGATTGTTGTCATACTGTATTAGGTTGGAAATATGAACAAGCCTTTGAGTCTAGTCAAAAGTATAAAGAAGGCAAATATATTATAGAATTAGCCCACTTAATTAAAGATAATGGTTGGGATTGGATTCTATCAGAATTAGAACAACGAAGACCTTATTGACATACACACACACACACCCATCCATACACACATACATACAAACACACAAACAAACAGATAGAATTTCCCTGTCCCTTGTGTTTTCCCTTGCGTTTTCTTTCTTTTTTTTATGTCTTTATATCTATTACTTATGTATAAGTGAATTGTTTTGAATTGCAAAGTGTTTGAATTCCATACTAATATATGTACCTTTTATAATACATACATACCCTACCTATTCAGGACAATAATAATAATAATAGTACTAATACTATCATTGACAATAATATTAGTAAATAGTAATCAATCAACCATCTCAACGGCCATCATTGTTATTATTATTGTCATCAAATATTATTGCACGTAACCTGTATGCAATATAATGTAAATAAAATAATACTCATAGTCTTTCAATGTGAATGGAGGTCTTTAGTGTTAATTTTAGTCTTCATTTATCATCATCTACTTTCCTTCAGGTGTCTTCGTGACTTCTTCTCTGAGTATTCACACCTCACTCTGTCGCTGTCTCTATCTCCGTGTATCTATCTCATTCTCCGACTATTATTCATACCTGATTAATGAGATTTAAAGTTATTATTATTATTATTATCTGAGTCACTACTAATTGATTTTTGACGTCGTTTATCTAAATTCTTATTCTTCAATTGTATCGTCGTTTTTTCTGGCCGATATAAATCAGTTTGCATAATAATAATAATAATATTGATTTGAACAAGTTAACCAGTCTTCAGCAGCATTGATTCCTACAGACAGTCTATAAATAGGAGAAGAATACACCATATATATATGAATTGTATTGAATAACCTTTATTGTTGTTGTATATTCTCCAACATGGCTTTATAATCATCTTCGCTATCATCTTCACCGCCATCGCCACCACCATCATCGTCATCTTGTAGGTGATTATCATCTCTGTTGTATGTTTTACATACATACTGTCTCTTCTCTTATTCAGCTGTGCTGTCTCCGGTTTTATATTCCTATTGAAGCGGAGAGAAAAAAGAGGACATGAGGAGTAACGCCAGACGAAAATATTGTCAAATCAAATTAAAACAACAGGAGAAAAAAACACTTGTACATAGACATTGTAAAAACAACCCTATCCTTTATGGCTATCACTGTTCTGCTGGTGTTATTCTCTTTCTCTCTGTCAGTTTATCTCATAATATTGCTTAATTGATTCTCAGGATAGGTAATGTAAAAAAATAAAAAGGGAAAATTGATCTTGTTTTATATATTTCTCTCTCTCTCTCTGTTATTTGTGTTTCTCCTCCCTCTACTTGTTTTTCTCATTATTAATTGCAGGTATTCACCATCACCCTATGATTCAATGACTGATTAACTAAATTGATAGACGAACAACGACATTATATGTGATTGTTACACTACTACTACTACTACTACTGCTAATAATAATAATAATCATAATAGGAATGAGAATGGATGTATGTATGAAACAATTTATAGGTGTCTAATACAAATATATATACATATATATGCACTCAATTCTTTCTCGACATTTCCTCTTCTTCTTTCTTTCATTTTTTTGAAGTTTCTATTGTTAATACTACTACTATTATCGTTATCGTCACTTGTTATACTACTGTTATCCTAGATATAAGTAGTAGATTCGGTGTATAACAGCCAGTTTGTAATATCTCTTGTAAATATTTAATAATAATACTCTTGTCTCATTGCTTTTTCTGTTTGCGTATTAGAAGGATGTATATTACATAATCCGATTCTCTTGTGATATATATATGTATGTATTCAAGTGTATTTCCCCTTATTTGTCACTCATTAGAGTCACTGATAAACACTATCCTCCTTGCTTTTCTCCTTCTCTTGTCGTCTTCTGTCCTTAAAAGTCACTTCTTTTTATAGAAGATAATTGAGGCATAACTAGTTCCCTTACCCTTGCCAGCTTGTCATTTCGATCTCTTGTCTTTTTCTATTTTCTTGTCGTTTTTTTGCATTAATTAGTTATATTTTATCGCGAAATTTTCAGCGATTTCTATCCTCCGAACCTACCCTATCCTACCTTACTTTATGCCTCTTCTTCCTATTCTGTTCCACTTTATACTCTTTCAATGAGTATTAGTATATATTACAAGATAGGATTGTTCATTAATTAACAAAGAATAACAATAATGTCATGTTATACTTCTGTTTGTTTTTACCTTTTTTTTGTTTTATTCAACTTGTGTGCTAATTATCATTATTCTCCTATGACACTATCCTATGACTACTATTCATATGCTTGATTATATTTTGATTCAGGGGGGTAGGGTGGGGCGTGTGTGTGTGGGCAGAATTTCAGCATTACTATTTTCCAATATTTTATTCCCTTCATTGTATGTGTGTGTGTGTTATCGTGTCCTATCTTTTAACAATCAGTATCAACGAGTGGTTTACCCGAGAGACTAACAGAGTGTGGAATATTATTATTCCAGTTTGTATGCTTGAAATGATGAAGATAAGATAGGCAGCGAAAAACACAGACGACTGGGCGTGTTTTATATAAATATATTTTACTCATGGATACCCGCATACACATGTCAATCAGGAATCAAGGCGTTTTTTCCAATGTGTCTTGAGGGTTGAAGAGTGAGAATGGCCAACAAAACATGAGCACAATAGTAAACTGTTTATTCAGCCCCCCTTTATGTGTATGATATTCTTCAGCAATAGTCTGTAGGTGTGTTATTATTTATTACACATATGAATACTGTAACCACCATATGATTAATGTGGTAGATTTCGCATTTATTTAATTAATTTATTTACCTGTTAAGAAATAAGTAGTCGTGGTGATTTCTTGTGAATTTCGTCTTCTTCTTCGTCTCTAACTATATTATCTTCTCTCCCTCTCCGCCGTTTTCCCCGCACATTTTCATAATATTCTTTTTTTTGTTTGTCTCCTACTCTACATGTATGTACAACATACTGAACTTTGTTTATTTAACCTAATTAATTCATAATATATATATAAAGCATACTGGACTTTTATGCCTTTCAATTTTAATTTTAACATATTCAATTGTTAGGAATGAATATATATTTTGATCTTATTTTCTTTGTTTAACTTTTTTTCGTCTTAAAAGTGTTCAAATCTTTCCAGCGGTATTTTTAAAATTCGCACCTTTGTTTCAATATTCAATGTTTGTTATTTAAAGGGATTGAAAAAGGATTTCAGGCTTTTGTGTTGTTTTGTTGAACTTTCAAGTGAGAAAAAGTAGTGAACATTTAGATCAGTTTATAAATTATTTGTTTCTGTTATATGTTAAATATTATTATTACTACCGTTCATCTTCATTTCATTTGATTATATTGTTTATGTGAACTGGATACCATCTTGTGAATGTGTTGAATGTATTCTTGGGATGTATTTCTCTTCAATAGGATAGGACATTAAGGTGTTTTTACACTAACGAGGAGAAGTCCCACTAGTACTACTACTAATACAACGACTATTATTATTATTATTATTACTATTACTACCATTATTATAACTCTTAATATATATATATATATATATATATATATATATATATATATATATATATATATATATATACTTTTTATTGTTAATATCATTGTTATTTTCATTTGAGCTGGGCTCATTATTATAACAATTGTATTTTCTTTTGTTTATTTGGCATATGTGATCGAGTTGTCCTGTGTGTTATTATCTCTGTGTTTTTTTTAGTTTGCTATGTTTCATGAATAAAAATAATAATAATAAAATAAACAAACTATAAATAGAAAAGAATGAGAACAAGTTTATTGTTAGCTCTTTTTCTCTCTGTGTGTGTGTGTGTTTGTTCACGTGGTTTCAAACGAAGTTTACGTGTTAAGTGGGAATTTTATCAATATTGAGAATGTTATGAGAAGTTTTGGTTGAATACAATTTACATCAGTGGTTCAGGGATAGAATGGTCGACGACCACCACGCATATCATATGGGGTTTCGAATCTCGGCAGGTACACTTCTTAACCTCGCTTGGCTGGTATTATTATTATTATTATTCCCTTGAGCTCCGAGTGGGACATAAGGCTTCAACAATACATCTCCACTTTCTTCTATTATCTTCTGTCCCCTTCAGCTAGCTGACCCAACGATTGCCCATAATCTCTCATCTCTTCCAACTCGCCACACAATCTCCTCCATGTCACACTTGCACTGACGATCTACTCATCGCTTCCCACTCGGGTTTCACTCGAGCGATTGCTTGTATTGTACGCGATGTCATTTGACGGCCTCCTCACTGTATGCGTGATCCATCTCCATTTTCTCCTACATATTTGTTGAGCGATCGGTTCTTGCTTGGTTTGTTGCCAGCCAGAGTTTCTTCTGGCTTTTTCAGTATGGAGCCAGCCAGCGAAGATGGGGCTGTTGGTGGTAAAAGTCTGCAGCCATCTGTTTGAAATGTTTTTCATGGCACTGCATATTTCTTACGCATATAGAAGAACTGACTGACTTCAATAATATTTATATTAAAAATCCAAATCTTGTCCTTTATGCTGTCTGAGTGCAGTGCAGAAGATTTCCAAAATGGTTTCAAGTTGATAAAGACGTATCTTGCCGTTCCAGTTCTGACTTTAGCATCTTTATGCATTCCGATTGGCTTTGGTTGAAACGATGCTTCCTAGGTAAGTTAAGGAAGTAACCTCTATTAAATTTCTCCCTTTGAAGGTGAGCGGTGTTGGTTGTTGTTGTTGTTGTTGTTATTGTTGGCTGGTTGGTTATCTTCATCACCGTCTGCACTAGGTTCACCTGAAGTCATATCTGCCACCTTCTTCAGGCAGTTTGTTTGTTTTCACCTTTGAGTCTTCGAGTTTGTGTGACACTAAATATGTATCATCCACGTGCAAAATGCAGATCTTCCTGAGTCTTCTTATCGGTCTTACGTATTCCAGTTTTCTCACTTCCTGTTGACAGTCTGACACGTAATCCAGACCACCACACTGTATTCACTTCGAAAGCTCACTTAGCTGA